AGGTTTTTGCTATAGGGCACATGCGCTCGCCAGACAGAGAGAAACAGAGAGACAGAAAGAGAGAAATCACCCCCAGGGGGGATGGCCATGCCACAATCCCTTCTCCTCCATTCTCTCGGGATCCTGGGCACGCATGCACACACGCCTGGCGTGAGTTTGAAGCCACTGGGTCCGGGACGCGAACTGCGGTCGACTACATGGGAGTCCAGTGACATAGCCATTATGCTAACTGCTGGTCCCCCCGGCATGATTTTTAACGTGGGACTCACATTGTGCAGTCACCCACATGAGATCCAGCTGCCTTAATACACCACGCCACTGGCTGGCCCTACACTCTTCTTAACACGTGGTCTGTCCTGCCCATGGGGAGCTCAGGTCTCTGAGAAAGAGGAAACAGTCCAGACAGTCCAGACTGAGGCCTGAGGACCGGGAGACTTGAGGACCCCTTGTGCCTGCATATAAGGAATAGCTGGGCATGGAGAGGGACGCAGAGGAATCCTCGCACATGTTGGTCCAACCCACCGCTTGTCTTCTCTCCTCTCTGGATTTCGTGCCTCCATCCAAGCTTGCAGGGATTTAGGGGCATAAAGAGACTTCCACAGGAAGGAAAGGCCCTGCCTCTTCCAGAGACCGACCTCCCCCATTGCTGTCTTCTGGGAGTTTCGGGTACAAGGAAGACTGTAGGGTGCCAGGTGCCAGGATCGGAGACCCCGAGCTTGAGCGTCCACGGTCGCGCACTTAGGTATAGGTCACGCAGCAGGGGCGCGAGGGCTCGGTTGTGTCAGGATTCTTATAGCATTACTGATGTTCATGGTCAGGGCCACGGGTGGTCCTCCGAGGGGCCAGCCTCTGCTGGGCCACTTTCAGCAGATTGTCGGGGCCTCGTGTGGGACAGCATTGCTTGTCGGTTAGCGCTTCAGTGGGTTAAGGACTGGACGTGGATTCTGGGAGCGAGTCTACGTTCCTGGAGTGTGTAGAGACTTAAGCCATGTCAGACTTGGGGGATTCATGTATTTCTGGGTTCACCTAAGCCAAAGCTCTCAAGTGCATTTTGTTTTTCATTTTATTCTTTTGGCAATCCAATGAAGGCTCTGACCATCGACATAATTTTCTGTAGAGAATTTTACGTTCTAGGGTGCGTGAAGTATTTCTTCCATTTACCCCTCCCAAGTGCATTTTAGGTGGGACCTCAGAGGTCCTGGGGCAGAGAGGCTGTTGGTGTGCACTAGGTGATAGGTGTGCTGTCGAGGCCTTGGGGACGTTTATGGTGGAGCCTGGAGTGACAAGCCCTGGGACATGGAGCCAAGGGCAGACACTAGGATTGCAGGTGAATTTAGAGCAAAGCTCAGGTTAGTGACAAGTCCCAGGGCAGAGGGATTTAGGTTTGTGCTAGGCCTCAGGTGTCTTTATGGTCCCTTGGGGAAGTGATAGGCCTTGGGACAGTGGGGTTGTGGTATGTGACAGGCTACCTGCCTTCATGCGGGATGGTGACAGGCCCCTTCTTATCTCTGTAGGAGACAAGCAGTCAAAGAAACAAGAGAAAAGGCCAGCGACGGTGTCCTCCCAGTTTGTGGACGAAGCTCTGTGTGCGTGCGAGGAGCACCTTAGCAACCTGGCCCACATGGACATCGACAAGGACCTGGAGGCCCCGCTGTACTTCAGCCCTGAGGGCTGGTCCGTCTTCCTCCACCGCTACTACCAAGTAGTCCAGTGAGTACCCCTGCAGCCAGGGCCATGTGGCAGGGACAGGTGCTCAGGGACAGACCCTCTGTCTACACTGCTCCCACCCCTTCCCCACGTCGGCCTGTTCTGTTCATCCTGCTACTCTCCTGCTCAGGAACACTCAATGGCTCCCATTGCTTCTCTGATAAGATCCAAACCATTCTTCCTGGTTCTTAGCATAGTGTATACACTGAGATCGTGGGCCAAGCTGTCCAGTAGACCTGAGTTTGAGTCCTGGCTTTGCAGTTTCCAAGTTCTGTGACCTGGGAAATGTTACTCTCTTCTTGAGTTTTACTTTTCTCAAATACAAAATATATTTTAATTTTTTTTATTTCAGTTTTTTTGGAGAGGTTTTTGCGATAGGGCACGTGCGCTCGACAGAAAGACAGAGAGAGACAGAAAGCGAGAAATCAACCCCCGGGGAGATGGCCACGCTGCAATCCCTTCTCCATTCTTGGGATCTTGGGCACGCATGCACATGTGCCAGGTGTGAGTAAGCCACCGGGTCCGGGACTTGAACCATGGTCGACTACATGGGAGTCCAGTGACAAAGCTATTACGCCAACTGCTGATCCTGCAAAATAGATTTTAAAAGAATGCCTGCCTCAAAGGTGGGAGTAGAGAGGATATATGTATTATGTGCTTGGCACAGGCCCATGACCCACGCACAAAATCGGAATCCATGCCAGGCAGATTTTTTTTCTAGAGGCCACTTGCCAGACTGTTGCAAAGGAGGCTGACCAGAAGGAAGTAAATAGATTTTATACTTTAAAAAAAAAAAGAGGGGGGTCTTTTGTGGTCAGTCAAGCTTTAAAAACCGAGATTAAACCAAACTATGGAGAGGGATGGCTTTTGTGATCAATCAAGCTTGAAAAACTGAACTGAGGGAACCAGCAGTTAGCGTAATGGCTATGTCACTGGACTCCCACGTAGTCAACCGTGGTTCGTGTCCCGGACCCAGTGGCTTAAAACTCACGCCGGGCGCGTGTGCGTGCGTGCCCAAGATCCCAGGAGGAGAATGGAGGAGAAGGGATTGCGGCGTGACCATCCCCCCTGGGGGGTGATTTCTCGCTTTCTGTCTCTATGTCTCTGTCTGTCTGGCAAGCGCACGCGCCCTATAGTGAAAAAAAAAAAAATAAAAACTCTCAAAAAAAAAGAAAAAAACTGAACTGAACAAAATTAAACAAGGTTTGGGGCTGGCAGGTAGCACGGTGGTTGGGGCGTTGGACTCCCACAAGGTCGACCTCCATTTGAGTCCTGGACCTGGTGGTTTGCTTTCTCGCTTTCCTTCTCTCTCTGGTCCAGCTGAAAAATCATAATAAATAAAATTAAATAAATAAATATTTTTAAAAATGTAAACAGGAGGTAGGCAGGTGGCATGGTGGATAAGGCTGCTGGACTCCCACTTGGTCGACTGTGGTTTGAATCCCTGACCTAGCGGCTTGCTCTCTTACTTCTCTCTCTCACTCTGTCCGTCTCTGGTCAAATTAAAATAAGTAAATAAATAAATAAAGTTAAATAAAATAATTCTTTTTTTTGGGAGAGGTTTTTGCTCTAGGGCACATATGCTCTCCAGAATAACAGAGACAGACAGACAGACAGCGAGAAATCACCCCCGAGGCAGGATGGCCACACCACAATCCCGGCTCCTCCATTCTCCTCTCGGGATCTTGGGCACGCACATACACGAACCCAGTGTGAGTCAGCCACCAGGTCCGGGACTTGAACCATGGTCGACTACATGGGAGTCCAGCGACATAGCCATTATTACGCCAACTGCTGGTCCCATAAAATATTTTTTAACTAAAAAAATTAAACAGTGTTCTCTGCTGCAGGACTTTGCAGAACCTATTGGGGGTGTCAGCCTCAGAGAGCAAGCAGCGTACCCTGTGCTTCCGTGACCCTGACACCCTTCCTTTCCTCAGTCACCCTCAGGGAAGGGCAGTGTTTTCAGAACACACTTAGGTGAGTTCTTGAGCAGGGGGAAGGAGGACCAAGAGAGGGTGCTGCCCTAGGAGAGAAGGTGCAGCAGCGGTGTGCAGGAGGGACTGGTGGGAGCAGGCAGGAGAATCCTCAGCCAGCATTACTCCAGCCCCTCCTATGTGCCAAGCATTGTGCCAGGCCCCTGCCCTCAAGGGGGACACAGCTCAAGGTGGGAGGCCTTCAACAAGCCAGCTGGGGCGGGGTGCTAAGGGTCTCTGCTGGCCTGGTGTTAACAGAAAGGAACGGATGGACCTCATTACCCAATGGGGGGAACTGAAGAACTAATGAATGAGCTCTTACTGACGCACATAATCAGAAAACCCACAACTCAGCTGTATAATTCATTCGTATCTTTTCCAAATGTCAGCAAATGACAAGCAGGTGACTCTATTCTTTCCTCTTAGTTATCAGAAAATATATAGACTATTTTTGTTTGTTTGTTTGTTAATTTGCTATGGGGGGGGGCACATGCTCTCACTGGTGAGAGTGAGAGAGCAAGAAAGTGAGAAAGCATCCCCCTCACACCTAGGATGGATGACCGTGCCACAATCCCTTCTCCTCCATTCTCCTCTTGGGATGCGGGGCGTGCTTACAAGCATGTACTTGGCCTGTTCTTCAAGCTGTCAGGTCTGGGGCTAAAACCATTTGGTTAGTCGCATGGAGTCCAACTGCCTTAACCACCACACCACCAGGCTGGCCTTAAAGCTACCCTTAAACTAAGAAATATCACAGCTGACTTAGAACATTAGGTGTAAAGCTCATGAGCCCTTTTTATTCTGAAGTGTGCATAAGCTCCAGAAGGAAGTAGGAGCCTCCCAAAAGTCAGGATTACATAAACTATTGTATCAAGTAACAGATACATAGTGTTGAGTGCTGCAGTATGGACAATTAGCATTCATTTATTCATTTCATTTAATATTTACTGTCATTTCTCAACTTAAAAAAAAAAATCTATGGGGCCAGCAGGTGGCGTGGTGGTTAAGGGCGCTGGACTCCCACATGGACGACCACGGTTCAAGTCCCGGATCTGGTGGCTTGCTTTCTCACTTTCTCTCTTTCTCTCTTTTTCTCTCACCAAATTAAAATAAATAAGCAAATAAAATAAATAAAGTTAAATAAAGTAATTCTAAAAAAAAAAAAAATCTATGGGGCCAGCAGGTGGCATAGTAGATAAGGTTCTAGACTCCCTCATGGCTGACCATGGTCTGAGCCCCAGACCTGGCAGCTTGAAAATCACACTGGGGGGCTGGCAGGTGGTGTGGTGGTTAAAAGTGCTGGACTCACACATGACCGACCGCAGTTCGAGTCCCATATCTGGTGGCTTGCTTTCTCACTTTCCCTCTCTCTGTCTTTCTCTGGTCAAATTAAAAAATAATCATAATAAATAAAGTCGAATAAAATAATTTTTTTAAAAAGAGAGAGAGAGAAGAAAATCATACTAGGCATGTGTGTGTGCAAGGCCAAAAAAGACAAAGGAGAGTGGAGGAGATGGGATTGTGGCCACCCTTGAGGGGGGTGATTTCTTACTTTCCCTCTGTCTCTCTGGCAAGTGCACATGCCCTATGGTAAAATCTTTTTTTTTTTTTTAAGAATTATTTATTCTATTTAACTTTACTTATTTTTTAATTTGACCAGAGAGATAGAGAGAAAATGAGAAAGCAAGCCTCCAGGTCTGAGACTCGAACCACAGTTGGCCATGTGGAAGTCCAGTGCTCTCAAACACCACACCACATGCCGGCCCTTGTTAAAAAGCTTTAAAAAAAAATATTAAAAACAAAACAAAAAACAAATCCATGCCTCACCAGCCAGACTTTTTTCAAGGATGACTTTTCATAAAAATACGATTTGCTTTTTGCTAAATGTAGTCATATTATCTTGTCAAATATACATTCTCAAACTACACTGCCCTGTCACTCCCTGTAATACGTCCCTGGGCTACACTGCAGATATAGTGAGCAGATACTTACTGCCGTGGACCACCAGTTTGTCAGAATTTAGTGTGAATATTATTCCTGGGAGACCCGGCCAAGGCCCCTCCATCTGGCTGTCCTGGTTCCTGGGCCTGCCTCAACGGCTGCTGCCTCCTCTTAGAAAGAAACAATTGTTCCATGGCTGGAGACTTTCAAGAGCTGGGGTGTTAAAGAGAAGTGGGTATCAGGACCGGCAGCTGGCGTAATGGCTATGTTGCTGGACTCCCATGTAGTCCACGACGGTTCAAGTCCTGGACCCAGTGGCGTAAACTCACACTGGGTGCATGTGCATGTGTGCCCAAGATCCCGAAAGCAGAATGGAGGAGAGGAGATTGCAGTGTGGCCATCCCCCCTGGGGGGCAATTTCTCACTTTCTGTCTCTCTGTCCCTCTCTATCTCTCCCGCGAGCGCACGCACCCTGTAGTAAAAACCTCTCCAAAAAAAAAAGAAAAGAAATGAGTATCCAGTGAAGGCTTCCTTTCTGTTCGGTCAGAAGAAATGGGAGAGTTCAGATGAGGCAACTGTCTGGGAACTTGGTGATGTGGTCTCCTGTAGGGAACTTTGTCTGTGACTCCTGTCTATATTGACCACCTGCCAAGGTGAGCACTTGCCAAAGTCCAGCCAGCCTTCATTCATTCATTTAACAGATATTCCGGGGGTGCCTGATAAGCATCAGACTTAGTGCTTGGGGATGGGATCCCACAGAGCAACGGCCAGCATGCCCCTGCTCTGGGGCAGTGTGTGTCCCACTGAGGCAGGCGGGCAGGGAGCAGGTGGGCGTGTCGGGTGGGTGAGTGATGGGAGGAGGACAGAGCAAGGAGAGGCGGGGGCAAATATGCTGGGAAGGGAAGAGACCAGGAAGGGGCCCACCTACCAGCCAGCATTAGGTCCAGGTTAGCAGGGGCATGGGCCCCACAAAGCACCTGCGGATGAAAGAATCAGGCGGATTTATCCTGGCTCAGCCACTCAGCTCACGGTGGCCTTGAGCAAATCTCCAAGCTTCAGTTTATAGTTCTCTACAGTGGGACGTAATCATTCCCTGCAGGGCTGTTGAGAGGATTGTGACGAGATGCGGAGAGCCCTTGGCACAGTGGTGCTCCATCATTAGAGGTTGAGATGATTAAATTTCACTAAAGGCAGTTTTTTAAAAATTTATTATCATTTTTATTTAATTTTATTATCATTATTAATTTATTTATTCCTTTTTAATTTGACCAGAGAGAGAGAGAAAGGGAAAGTGAGAAAGCAAGCAAGCTGCCAGGTCCAGGACTTGAACCTTGGTTGGCCATATGGGAGTCCAGTGCCTTAACCATCTGCTGGCCTCCAAAGTCAATTTTTATTTTTGGAGAGGTTTTTGCTATAGGGCACATGTGCTCACCAGAAAGCCAGAGAGAGACAGAGAGACAGAAAACAAAAATCACCCCCCGGGGGGGATGGCCACGCCACAATCCCTTCTCCTCCACTCTCCTCCCGGGATCTTGGGCACGCATGCACATGCACCCAGCATTAGTTTAAGCCACCTGGTCCAGGACTCGAACCATGGTCAACTACATGGGAGTCCAGCGACATAGCCATTACGCTAACTGCTGGTCCCCCATTTTAATGTACTGGGAAGGAAAGTGGACCAAGGTGGAGTGTTGGGGCGGGCAGATGGGGAGATGGTGGAGTCATCGGAATTTTCTCGTCCCTTCCCATTCCTGTAGTCTGGGCAGGGTAGGACTGGGGGTAAGGGTGGCCTACCGGTGGGAAACAGAGATCTGGGAGGGGTCTGTTGACATGCCTGGGGGAGGGCTAACCAAGGCTGGTTGGACCACAGGGGTTGGGGGTGTCCTGTCATGTGCACCCACCTGCTTCCCAGGCCCGGCCTTGCCCAATCCCTTGGTCTCCCCACAGCGAGGGGGCAGAGCTCAGGCACCTGGACACCCAGGTCCAGCGCTGTGAGGACATCCTGCAGCAGCTCCGGGCCGTGGTGCCCCAGATGGACATGGAAGGGGAACGCAACATCTGGATCGTGAAACCAGGAGCCAAGTCCCGCGGACGAGGTGGGGGCGCCCCTCCTCCCTGCATCAGCACCCCATGACCCGCGTCCCCCATTAGAGGCCAGGGAGGTTCATCGTGCAGGCTCTTTGGAAGCCAAGCTGCCTGGACTTGAATCCCAGCTCTGATACGAATATGCTGTGTGACCTTGAGCAAGTTATAGCACCTCTCTGAACCTCAGATCCCTGTGAAACGGGGATATTGGGGCCAGCAGGTGGCATGGTGGTTAAGGTGGTGGACTTCCACATGGCTGACCACGGTTTAAGTCCTAGATCTGGCAGCTCGCGTTCTCGCTTTCTCTCTCTGTCTCTCTCTGGTGACCACACGAGCCTTGTCACAAATTAAAAAAAATAATAATGACAATGATAAATGATGTTAAGTAAATCATTCTTTTTAAAAAAGGAAAAAGAAACAGGGATATTACCTGTGAGGTGAGAGTGAACTGAAGGGGTTGATCCAAAGCTCAGCGTGGAGCCTGGCGCAGAGTGGTGACCCCATAATCATTGGCGGCTGTCATGATGTCGTTTGATCCCCTCCTGCCCTCAGAGTTTGGGCTAATGATTTCGATAGGTTTGGTGAGACTCACAGCAGTCAGTTGCTTGTCATCTAAGGGCTCTAAGATTCAACCAGTGCAGCCTTGTGGGGTGTAGCCTAGTGAGTAATCACCCCGCGGGGTGATTTCTTGCTTTCTGTCTGTCTCTCCAGCGAGCGCACACACCCTATAGCAGAAATCTCTGCGAAAAAAGGAAGTGCTTAGATTCTGTGCCTTCACGCAGTAACTGCCATGCAGGTGCCATTGTCATTAGCTGATCCCAGTTACTCAGCAAGTGTGAGTGGAGTTGAGCAGGAGAGCCAGCAGGCTGGGCCGTGCATCAGCCCAGGCTCTAACGACTGCACAGGGCCCTCCACGGCGTAGGACACCAGTGCCTCCAGATGCTGCCCACGTAGAGCTGCTGCAGCTCCAGGCGCTCTGGGACCTCCAGGGGGTGTCACAGTTAAAGTCCTTTTTTACCTTTAGAAACAATTTGCTGGGTCTGCACTGGGGCCTGGCTGACCACGTGGTTCAATTCCTGGGCCCAGTGGCTTGAAAAACATGCCGGTCTCTCTCTCTCTCACGCTGTCCCTTGCTGGTCAAATTAAAATAAATAAATAAATAAAGATTAAGGGGGGAAAAAACCATGCTGGGTGAATGTGCATGCGTGCTCAAATTCCTGAAAGGATGGAGAGATTGAGAAGGGATTGACTGTTCCCCATGGGGGGTGGTTTCTCCTCTCTTTCTCTGGTGAGCACATGCACCCTCTGGCACACAAAAGAAGACAAAAATACTCATTTTAATTTAGTTTTAGTTTAGTTTTTTTTTTTTTGAGAGGTTTTTGCTACAGGGCACATGCGCTTGCCAGAAAGAGAGAGACAGAGAAACTAAAAGCAAGAAATCCCCCTCCCAGGGAGGATGGCCACACCACAATCCCTTCTCCTCCATTCTCCTCTTGGGATCCTGGGCATGCACACGCATGTGCCTAGCATGAGTTTAAGGCACCCGTCTGGGACTCTAACTGTGGTTGACTACATGGGAGTCCAGTGACATAGCTATTATGCCAACTGCTGGTCCCTTAACTTCCCTTCTTATAAAAGAGATAAAGTACTGTTTTCTGCCTAGGAAAATGGCTAGAATAAATGTCAGTCAACAGCGTTAGGTAAGATGTGGGCAGACACACTCGTATGTTCTTGGTGAGAATGCACATCAGTAGGATGTCTTTGGCAATACAAGATGACAAATGCACATACCCATGAAGCCAGCACACCAGTGGCTAGACATTTATGCTCCAGTTAATTCCTGATAATATGAGTTAACTTTACTGACGCTCACCATGTGCCAAGCACTAGTTCACATCCTGAACATGCTTGGATTCATATAATCCTCTGAAACTGAGGCAGGTGTAGACTCTCGCAAAGCCTGAAAGGGTATCTGTAAGGACTTGACAACAGCAGGTGGCTGCATCTGGGAAAGGAAACCTGTTTATTATACAACGGAAGTCTTTAAAAAGTTCATGAAAGGGGAACCAGCAGATGGCATGATGGCTATGTCGCTGGACTCCCGTGTCGTCGACCGTGGTTTGAGTCCCAGACCCCTTGGCTTATATTCACGCCGGGTGCGTTTATGTGCATGCCCAAGATCCTGAGAGGAAAATGGAGAAGGGATTGCAGTGTAGCCATCCCCCCTTGGGGGTGATTTCTCACTTTCTGTCTCTCTGTCTCTCTCTGTCTATCTGGCCAGCAGCACTCGCCCTATAGTAAAAACTTCTCCAAAAAAATTAATTCATTCATTTAAAAAAAGTTCATGAAAGGGCCAGCAGATGGTGTGGTGGTTAAGGCACTAGACTCCCACATGTTTGACTGCAGTTTGAGTCCCAGACCTGGCAGCATGTGTCCTATACCAAATTTTAAAATAATAGTAAATAAAATTAGGTAATTCTTTTTTAAAAAGTCATTGAAAATGTATATTATGGAAAAACTATACATAGATTTCAAAATTTTCATCACCAAGATGAGCAGGTGGCATAAGGGTTATGTTACTGGACTCCCACGTAGTTGACTGTGGCTTGAGTCCCAGACCCAGTGGCTTAACATTCACTCCGTGCGCATGTGTGTGCGTGCCCCCACTCCTGAGAGCATCATGGAGGAGAAGGGACTGCGGCGTGGCCATCCTCCCAGGGGATGATTTATCGCTTCCTGTCTCTCTGTCTTTCTCTCTCTCTCTGGTGAGCAGTTGCACCCCGTAGGAAAAATCTGCCTTTAAAAAGACTTATTTTTCTGCACCAAAAATAAGCTTATATTTATTTTGTTTTCCACAAACTTTTAAAGTTTCTGTATATGCCTTTCAGTACTAATTTTTTTTGTTTGTTTTATAGTCCATTAATTATTGGGGAAAAAATATTTGTACATGTTTTTAAAAGCCCTCTATGGGGCCAACCCTTTAGCCTAGTGGTTAAGGGAGCCAGATCCCACATGGTAGATTAACTCCTGGTGTGGTGATCTGAAAAACATTCCAGGCATGTGTGTATATGCCCACAAATCCTCACAGGATGGAGAAATGGAGAATGGATTCCGGCGTGGCCAGGCCCCGTTGAGCGGTGCTTTCTCCCACTCTCTCTGGCAAGCACACACACTCTGACAATTAAAAAAGCAAAACAAAACTGGGACCAGCTGGTGGCATAGTGGTTAAGGTGCTGGACTCCCACATTGTCAACCACGGTTTGAGTTTTGGACCTGGTGACTTAAAACTCATGCCAGCACATGTGTGTGCATGCCCAAAATCCTGAGAGGAGAAGAGATTGTGGAGTAGCCATCCTTCTGGAGGGTGATTTCTTGCTTTCTGTCTCTCTGTCTCTCTCTTGTCTCTGGCGAGCACTCATGCCTTATAGCAAAAATGTTTTAAAAGCAAAACAGAAACAGAATACTCTTTGGTCCATACATATATTCCTTTTCCTTCTTTTATTTTTTTTAAGAGAGGTTTTGCTATAGGGTGCCTGCACTCACTGGAGAGACAGACAGGAAGTGAGAAATCACTCCCCAGGAGGGGATGGCCATACTGCAGTCCCTGCTCCTGCATTCTCCTTGGGATGTTGGGCACGCACCCGCATGCACCCAGCGCGAGTTTCAAGCCTCTGGGTCCAGGACTCCAACTGCACTTGGCCATGTGCGAGTCCAGCAACATAATCGTTATTCCATCTGCTGGTCCCCGTATATTCCTTTTCAAACTGACTAGTTTCAAACAAAACCGATTAGTTAGACAAAATTTAAAAATCCTTTTTTTATATATAATAATAATAATTATTATTATTATTTAATTCACCAGAGAGAGAAAAAGGGAGGGAAAGTAAGAAAGCCATCCACCAGATCTGGGACTCGAACCATAGTCAGCCATGTGGGAGTCCAGCACAATAACCACCATGCCACCTGGCAGCCCCTTAAATTCTTAGCTTTCCCAAGGAACAGGGTTCTGGGTTGGGACAAGGGAGGCAGCCTTCTCTAGTTGGCTCCATTGGATCCATGGGGATGGAAGCGTAGGATGAGCTGCCCACGGTCCCTGGGCCTCCTCCCACTGATCCTGACCTCTCACGCCCTGACACCCCTCTCCCCTCAGGCATCATGTGCATGGACCACCTGGAGGAGATGCTGAGGCTGGTGGACTGCAACCCCATGATGATGAAGGACGGCAAGTGGGTGGTGCAGAAGTACATTGAGCGGCCCCTGCTCATCTTCGGCACCAAGTTCGACCTGAGGCAGTGGTTTCTGGTGACTGACTGGAACCCACTTACCGTGTGGTTCTACCGTGACAGCTACATCCGCTTCTCCACCCAGCCCTTCTCCCTGAAGAACCTGGACAAGTAAGCTCCACCACTCACCTCCCTGGAGTGCCCAGGTCAGCTGGGGAGCTGGCAAGCAAACAGGTGGAGACAGAGCAGCGGATCATGCTGCAGTGCTGGCTGCAGACCCAGCTCAGCAGGCAGGGAGGCAGGCAGGTCACGGCCCTCCCCGCCCTGCCGTCCTCCCTCCCAGCAGATGCTCACTGAGCATGTGCCATTCATGCTTCTAGGCTCTTGGGGTATGTCAGTGAACATAAGATCCCAGCTCTCAAGAGTTCACATTTTAGCAGGGAGAAACAAGCCATGACCAAAATATGTAAAATTATCTAATAGGTTAAAAGGTGGATGGGACCAGCAGTTGGCGTAATGGTTATGTTGCGGGACTCCCACGTAGTCAACCACAGTTCGAGTCCCAGACCCGGTGGCTTAAACTCACAGTGGGCATGTGTGCGTGCGAGCCCAAGATCCTGAGAGGAGAATGGAGGAGAAGGGATTGCAGTGTGGCCATCCCCTCTGGGGAGTGGGGGGGTGCTTTCTTGTTTTCTGTCTCTTTCTGGTGAGCGCATGTGCCCTATAGAAAAAGAAAAAAAAAAAAAACCTCTCCAAAGAAAGGTGGTATGGGTTGGGTCCAGCAGGCGGTGTAGTGGTTAAGGGGCTGGGTTCCCACATAGCTAACTGCGATTTGAGCCCCAGATCTGATGGCTCAACAACCATGCCAGGGACGTGTGTACGTGTGCCCAAAATCCTAGGAGGAGAGTGGAAGAGAAGGGGCTGAGGCTTGGCCATCCCCCAGGGGGATGATGTCTCACTTTCCATCTCACTGTCTCTCTGGAGAGTACACAAAGCCCTACAAAACAACAAAAAATGCCTTACAAAAACAAAAACAAAAAATGGTATATGTTATAAAAAAAGGAAATATAGAGCCAGGTAAAGGGAGGTCAAGAGGAATTCGAGAGGAGAAAGGCAAGAGGAGGTATTAACTTGGGGAGTAAGAAAAAGTCTTGAGGGGCCCAGCAGACGACATGGTGGTTGAGGCACTGGATTCCCACACAGCTGACGTTAGTTCAAGTCCCGGACCTGGCAGCTTGAAAATCACACCAGGCATGTGTGCATGCATGCCCAAAATCCTGAGAGGGAAATAGAGAAGAGATCGTAGTGTGGCTGCCCTCTGGTGGGGGGGTTGATTTCTCATCTTCCCTTTGTCTCTTTCTGTCTCTCTCTGGTGAGTACACAAGCCTCATGGCAAAAATCGTTTTTTTTAATTTTCATTTATTCATTTTATGGTAATATGACCAGAAAGAGACACAGAGAGAGAGAGAGAGAAGTGAGAAAGCAAGCTACCAGGTCTGAGACTTGAACCATGGTTGGCCATGTGAGAGTGTCCAGCACCTTAGTCACCAGGATGGAAGCAGCAGTAGGAAACTCAACATTCAGCTATCAGCCTTTGTGTTAGATGTGCCACTTTCTATATTCTCTCTCATTCTTTTTCTTTTAAAGAAAGAAAAAAGTTTTTGAGAAGTTTTTGCTATAGGGCACATGCGCTCACCAGAAAGAGAGAGACAGAGAGACAGAGAGACAGAAAGCGAGAAATCACCCCCCAGGGGAGATGGCCACGCCGCAATCCCTTCTCCTCCATTCTCCTCTCGGGATCTTGGGCACATGAGCCCAGCATGAGCTTAAGCCACTGGGTCTGGGACTCGAACTGTGGTCAACTACGTGGGAGTTCAGCGACATAGCCATCACACCAACTGCTGGTCCCTAAAGAAATTATTTAATTTGATTATTATTTTTTTTAATTTGCTATAGGACATGTGCACGCACCAGAGACAGAAAGTGAGAAAGCAAGCTCCTAGGTCTGGGACTTGAGCCTCAGCCGTCCATGTGCCAATGCCTTTAACCACCATGCTCCTGCTGGCCCCTCTCAGTCATTCTTTATAAAATCCCAGTGAATATGGGAGGAGCATGCCTCGGTGACCTACCTAGGATCTCACGACTAGCCAGTAGTGAAGGTGGGACTTGAACACAACTCGACAAATACAGAACTATACACTTACATGCTTTCTTATCTCCCAAAGCACTGGGAGGGCTTAGCATCTTAAGAGATAGGACTGGCTCTGGCCCTCAGGAGAATTTAGTGGGGCTGGGCCTTGTCCTTTCTGTCTCCCTGGTAGGGCCCCATCTCAGGTTAGACGGTGCAGGTGGCTCAGGCCAGGATTTCCCTGCCCTCGCTGCGTTTGGGTGGGAGGGGCACATGGCCACACCTCGGCCCTCTGTTCTCCGCCCAGCTCGGTACACCTGTGCAACAACTCCATCCAGAAGCACCTGGAGAACTCGTGCCATCGGCATCCACTGCTGCCCCCCGACAACATGTGGTCCAGCCAGAAGTTCCAGGCCCACCTACAGGAGATGGGGTCCCCCCACGCTTGGTCCACCATCATCGTGCCTGGCATGAAGGCTGCCGTGATCCACGCGCTCCAGACCTCCCAGGACTCCGTCCAGTGCCGGAAGGCCAGCTTTGAGCTCTACGGTGCCGACTTTGTGTTCGGGGAGAACTTCCAGCCCTGGCTGATTGAGATCAACGCCAGCCCCACCATGGCACCCTCCACGGCCGTCACTGCCCGGTTGTGTGCTGGTGTCCAGGCCGACACGCTGCGCGTGGTCATCGACCGGCGGCTGGACCGCAGCTGCGACACAGGAGCCTTCGAGCTCATCTATAAACAGGTGAGGTGTTCGGGCCCAGGCAGGACCCCAGGGCATCTGACCCTTCTTTCAGGCAGCTCCATGGTGAAGCACAAGGGTCTACACTCAGACGCAGTTTATTTATTTATTTTTTGAGAGGTTTATGCTATAGGGCACGTGCGCTCGCCAGACAGACAGAGAGAGAGACAGAGAGACAGAAAGCGAGAAATCACCCCCCAGGGGGGATGGCCATGCCGCAATCCCTTCTCCTCCATTCTCCTCTCGGGATCTTGGGCACGCACACGCACATGCGCCCGGCTTGAGTTTTAACCCACCGGGTCCAGGATGCAAACCACGGTCTATTACATGGGAGTCCAGCGACATAGCCATTACGCTAACTGCTGGTCCCATCTCATACGCAGTTTAAGACCTGGATTCACGTCCTCGTCTTGCCATGGGGTCCTAGGACAGCCACTTTGCTTCTTTGAGCCTCAGTTTCCTCCTCTGTACAGTGAGGATATTAGTACCGTCTTTCTCATGGGGGTTGAAAGAATAAACCGGGTTATGTATGGATAGTACTTCTCAAGAGGCATATAGTACAGTGCTAAGAGCACAGACTGTAGAACCTCCTGGGGTTCGAATCCGGTTGACTAAGGATAAGCTATGTGACTTTGGACAAGTTCCTAACCTCTGGGCGGTCTGTTTCCTTATCTGGAAAGCGAGAATATAAATAGTCCCTAATTCATAAGGTGGTGAGGGTTACGTGAGTGGCTCTAAGTAAAGTACTTTATAATAAAGCCTGGCAGCGTAGCAAGTGCTGTACAAGCTGCTGTTGTCATTGTCATCACCTAACAGGGCTGGTAGGAGTTTCGTGCTGAAGGAAACCACCGATTTAGTGCCTAGGTGTAGAGTAAGCGTTCAGTAGCGGGCCAGCCCTGTGGTGCAGTGGTTAGGATCCAGCGTGGAGAAAGCTGGATCCCACACGACCCACTGGGGTTTGAATCCCAGCCCCATCAGCTTCAGGCCAGGCTCAATCCAAGAACCTGGCAAGATGTAGAATTGGGGGTGGGGGGCGGGCAGCAGGTGGCATGGGGATTAAGGCGCTGGTCTCCCACGCGGCCGACTACCGTTCAAGTCCCGGGTCTGGCTACTTGCTTTCTCATTTTCCCTGTCTGTCTGTCTCTGGTGAATGTGCATATCATATAGAAAATTAAAAACTAATATAATAATAATAGGGACCAGCAGGTGGTGGGGTGGTTAAGGTGCTGGACACTCCCACATAAATAAATAAATAAAATTAAATAGTTTTAAAAAATATATAATAATAATAAAATAAATATTTTTTACATAGATAAAAAATTATACAAAAAAGGATTGCTACGTGACAGAGCCCTGCTGGGTGGGTTCTCTTTGCCCCTCTCATGTGTGCATATGTGCTCTCTATGATGGATAAAACTAGATTTAAAAGAGTCAATGAGAGGGAATGGCTATTATTTTTTAAAGAATTATTTAATTTTACTTATTCACTCATTTTTAAAATTTATTTACTTTTTCTCTTTTTTCTTCTTCTTCTTTTTTTTTTTTGAGAGGTTTTCGCCATAGGGCACGTGCGCTTGCCAGACAGACAGAGACATAGAGACAGAAAGCAAGAGATCACCCCCCAGGGGGGATGGCCACGCCGCAATCCCTTCTCCATTCTCCTCTCAGGATCTTGGGCACGCATGCACACGCACCCGGCATGAGTTTTAAGCCACTGGGTCTGGGATGTGAACCGCGGTCGACTACATAGGAGTCCAGCGACATAGCCATTACGCTAACTGCTGGTCCCAAAATTTATTTTCTTTTAATTTGCCCAGAGCAAGACACACACACACACACACAGTGGGGGGGGGGGTGAGAAAGCAAGCCACCAGGTCTAGGACTCAAACCTGGTTGGCCATGGGGGAGTACCCAGCGCCTTAACCACCACGCCACCTGCTGGTCCCAGTAACTGCTATTATTATCATTATCATCATTATTTTACTCATCTTGTTTCAAAAAGATATATGAGGGGCCAACAGGTGGCGTGGTTTAAGTCCTGGACCCAGTAGTTTTAAATTCACACGTGGGAGTCCAGCACCTTGACCACTATGCCACCTGCTGCCCCCAACAAGATTTTTTTTTTTTTTAAAAGTTTTTCCCTTAGGGTGTGTGTGCTCACCAGAAAGACAGAGACAGACTGAGAGACAGAAAGCGAGAAATCACCCCCCGGGGGAATGGCCACGCCGCAGTGCCTTCTCCATTCTCCTCTCGGGATCTTGGGCACGCACGCACTTGCGCCTTGCATGAGTTTAAGCCACCAGGTCCAGGACTCGAACTGCGGTCGACTACATGGGAGTCCAGTGATAGCCATTACGCCAATTGCTGGTCCCCCCAACAAGATTTTTTAAAGTCAGTCAGCCAAGGATTTCTGAGTTCCTGCATGTAATTTTTTACAGTTGAGCTAAGTGCCTTTTGACTTAGATTTGACTTCCCTCAAAGTTTAGCTGTGGGGAGGGTCTCTCTGATCACATGACCTAAGTGTCTTCATCTTTCTTATTGTGATTGATCATCTCTTAGATTTCTATACTGGCATTTTGGTTTTAAGAAATGTAAATGAGGAAATTTAAGGGCAAGTGAATAGGACAAAGACAAGGGGAAGGTTTTGCTTTGCAGACCAGGCTCTGGAATGGGTGTCAGGAGACCCCAGCTCCAGAGATAGATCCAGAGTACCTGGCTTGGACACTGTGCATCTGCATTTTTATCACAGGTCCTGCTGTTCCCAAATGTGTTTTATTGCTGATTTCTTGGTCTTTAGTTTGTTTCTAAGACACCCTCCCCCCCTTATTTTGTTTTTGCTATAAGGTGTGTGTGCTTACTGGGGAGACAGTGAGAGGCAAAGTGAGAAATCTCCCCCTGGGGGCTTAGTCACACCATAATCCCTTTTTCATTCTCCTCTTAGGATTTTGGGCACACGCGCACACACACCCAGCTTGATTTTCAAGCCACTGGGTCTGGGACTCGAACTACCGTCGGCCATGTGGGAGTCCAGCTTGTTAACTACCACACCACCTGCTGACTCCAAGATTTGCATTTAAAAAAAAAAAAAAAGTTTGTTTCTTCTGTGAGAGAGAGAGACATGCACCCTCAACAGGGTCTCGTGTTACTATCCTCCCAGCCTTCCAAGCCAGCCAGGATCACGGGTGTGCGTGCCTGGCAGGTACAGGTGGACCAGGGAACAGAACTTGTGGTCTTCCAAATGAATCTGGCATCCCTTGAACAGTGCCTTATCACTGTGCCACCAAGCCAGCCCTCTTGTTTTCAGTGCAACCTGTAGTCAGGGTTCACACCTCACATTGGTATTTTTGTCTGTTTAATCTCGTAATCTAGGACAGACCTACAGCTTTGCTTTCCATAGTTTGGATCTTTTGAAGAGACCAGGCCAATTGTTTTCTAGAACTGTCCCACATTCTGGATTTATCTGATTGTTTTCTGTGTTGGTGTTTACCAAGGTCTTCTGTTACCTGAATGGCCTGCAAACTAGAAGCGAGGTCAAACAGCTTGATGAGGTTCAGGTTACACTTTGGAGGTGACCCTGGGTCCCCCGTCCATCACGAGGCATAGTCTGTCAGGATGCCTCATGATTAGTGGTGCTGTTTGACCGCGGGTGCAGGGGGTGGCTACCAGATCTCTCTGTTGTAAGCTATGTCCTCCCCTTTGTATTCTCGATTGCTTCGTGAGGTGATACGTTGGCTGTACACAAATGACACATTTTCCTGCTATCCTCTTCACCAAATTGTTTGCATATCGAGTTCTGATAATTGTCTTTTTTTTTAAGAGTTGCATAGTAGTACATTTCTGTTCTATGCAGTTGTTGGAAAAGTCATAATTTTTTTTTTATAAGAATTATCTTTTTTGGGGGGGAGAGATTTTTGCTATATAGGGCACATGCACTTGCCAGAAAGACAGAGAGCGACAGAGAGACAGAAAGCGAGAAATCACCCCCCAGTGGGGATGGCCATGCCGCAATCCCTTCTCCCCCATTCTCCTCTTGGGATCTTGGGCACGCACACACACACACCTGGCGTGAGTTTTAAGCCACCGGGTCTGGGACTCGAATTGCAGTCGACTACATGGGAGTCCAGCAATATAGCCATTATGCCAACTGCTGGTCCCAAGATTTATCTTATTTAACTTTATTTATTTATTTATTTTTGTATTTGACCAGAGAGGGACAGAGTGAGAGAGAGTGAGAAAGCAAGCCTCTGGGTCCTGGATTCGAACCACAGTTGATCACGTGGGAGTCCAGTGCCCTTAACCACCACGCCATTTCCCATCCCCACATATAGTATATTTTTTCTATGCAAAACTGTGTCATCATGTTTCCAACAATCTAGTATATTCATTCACTGAGATTCTTCTGTGAAGATGAGCTTGGGTTATTTGGGAGCTCTCGTTGTATTTTTTAAAAATAATTACTTAATTTTATTTTTGAGTTCACCAGAGAGAGAGACACACACACAGAGAGAGGGAAAGTAAGAAAGCAAGCCATCAGTTCTGGGACGTGAACTGCTGTCGCCATGTGGGAGTCCAGGGCTTCAACTACCACACCACCTGCTGGCCTCTCGTTGCTATATGTTTAGGGTGCTCCAAGTGACTCCAGTGTGTTAGATAGATTCTAATCTAGATCCTTTGATGACACAGAAGACACCGGAAAGCAGCTCCAGGTTGAAAGGAGAGTTGGTAGCCAGGCCTGGGAGACTGCAGGAGGTACAGCTGGGCAGTAGGACCTGAGAACTGCAAGACTGCAAGGAGCTCCTGTCCTGGACCCTTCCTCCCTCCCTCTGCAGATTGCCTACTTCATTCTCCACAGAGACTGCCTTTTCTTTCTCTCCTTTTTTAAATTTGCTACAGGGTCCATGCGCCTGCCAGAGAGAGACAGAGAGAAAGAGAAAGCATTCCCCGGGGTGTGGTCACACTGTAATCCTTTCTTCTCTGTTCCTCGATCTCGTCTGGATCTGGGTCATACACACACACGTGGCGTGTTTTTCAAGCCACCAGGGCCTGGGATTCGAACTACACAGTCAGCCAGGTGGGATCTGGCTCCCTTAGCCACTAGGCCATGGGGCTGACCAAGACTGCCTTTTTTAGGGCTCTTCGTTTTTGTTCCCCCATAACATGGTCTCACACGAGGCTCTCGGCAGGCTCCGAACCTCTCCTCTGTCTGGGTGTCATAACCAAAACTCTCTGTAGGGAATCTGATTGGCTCGGCTCAGGAAGCTGTACTATGGAGCGAAGGTGCACATGTTCCAGCAGGGGCTGGGCAGCCTGGGGTCAGTGCGTGGGTGTTCTTTGGCACAGCCAGGGATCCCCAGCTCTGGCTTACCCATCCTTGGGGCTCTGTGATTCTCTAGGTACTGATCAGGCTTCTAGAACCAACCCTCTAGATGACAGGGATGAGCTTCCTGATTCTTAGCCCAAAAACATTACTCTCTCTCTCTCTTTTTTTTTTTTCTAAGAGAGATTTTTGCTATAGGGCATGCGCACTTGCCAGAGATCCTTTCTACTTTATTCTCCTCTCAGGATTTTGGGCATGCACACACACACACCCAGCATGAGTTTTATTTTATTTTTTTAACTTTATTATTTTTCAGTTTGATCAGAAAGAGATAGAGAGAGAGAGAAAGTGAGAAAGTAAGCCACCAGGTCCAGGACTTGAACTGTGGTTGCCCATGGGGGAGTCCAGCACTTTTAAGCACCATACTACCTGCCAGCCCACCGGTGTGTTTTAAGCCACTGAGTCTTGGACTCAAACCATGGTCGATTATGTGGGAGTCCAACATAACCATTATGCCATCTGCTGGTCCTAACTTTCTCTTTTTAAGATTATTAATTTTATGGGACCAGCAGTTAGTGTAATGGCTATGTTGCTGAACTCCCTTGTAGCCGACCACAGTTTGAGTCCCAGGCCCAGGGGCCTAAACTCACACTC